GTCCTAGGTGGGGTATTCTGGCGTCTCGAAGCTCTCCTCTTGGACCGACTTGGACCGATTTGGTGATATTCTGATTCCCCGCCTGAGTCATCCTGCCCGTCGAAATTCGCGCATCGCACCGCACCAACCGAGACTACCTCCTCGCACTCCTGCGCGGACGACCAAACGACGCGGGATATCTAGACTACGCCTCGACAACCACCCTAAAGTAGGGGCCCGACCACAAGAAACCTTCCACGAGAAACCCTACCCTGAGACCCCAGGACGTCTCTGGATTTGTTGTGTGCGAAACCATCGAGAAACCATCGAAACCCAAGAAACCCAGGGCACCCTGGAGGCAAGCAGGATGTCTCTTGGCATGGGGTTCCACTGTATGCAGTTCAGGCCGCGGTCTGCCTGGTGAAGAGGCTGCAATCATGGTCTAACCCTGGAACCCTGTCCAGGTAATACTCATGCTGTGACAGCGTCGGCCCTCTGTTTCCAGAAACCACAGGATTCGCCCCATCTTGCAACGCCCCCCACCCTCGGATCCAGACCCAGAGACCCCACCCACTCTTTTGTTCGGTGCGGGGGGCCCCGAAGTCCCGACGCGTTCCCCAGGGCCGACCGAGTCGTTGACTGATGGCCCCAGGGCCCGGAGAGGACTTCCCTAGACGGCAATCGGCCCCAAAACCTCCGCATTAAACTCTTCAATACGCTGAAGGATAAACTTTAAACGCCCGAACTGGCTACAGAAAAATAGATACAATGCCCAACAACAGATCTTGTCCCAAACCAGTAGCGGCCGCTGTTGGGTAGGCGGTCTTCTGCATCAAATGGACACAAACCGCGGTGGCGCGGACAGCGAGTCCGGTTCAAAATGAACAGGAACTGCCATTGGGCAATGTACCCACTCTTTCCGTACCCATGTCATTAGTGCCGATCAAAGATGTCCCCAAATGGTGAGCGTTTTCTTAGTGAGCGTTTTCTTATTCGGCGTTTCGACATTGGCGTTTCGACGCTGGGCAGGAAGAGAGGGGGGGTCCTGACTCCGGACCTCTGCTTAGTGCGACTGATTGCAGCAGTGCGTCCTACGGGGGAGACCCGACCTGCATAAAGAACGGGCCCCAAAGCAGCTAGACTCTGCTCCATAGGGGGGGGAGGGGTACGATAGAGAAACAAACAAAAAAAACATAAACATGAACTTTCGACGGTGCGCGCATATTTCTTGGATTTGCGCTGGGCCCCCAGCGCGGATCCGAGAAATCCGCGCGGAGCGGCAAAAGTTTATGCTGATGGCGTTTTTTCTTCTTCGAGGGCACGAGGACCCGCGCCGATCGGCAAACGAGGAAAACAAAAAAAAAAAAAAACGACCACGGTGCTCTCGACGCCACCCTTCCTCCTCCTCCTCCTCCTCCTCCTCCTCCTCGGAGGAGGAGGAGGAGGAGGAGGAGGACCTCCTCCTCGGGTGCCGATGCATCCGCCCCTGAGCACATCCCCCCCCCCTTGACACTGCCCCCCTGGCCTCCGGGCCGCCGCTCGGCTCTCCGGCGGCCGTGCCAGACGGCCTTGGCACCCTCCGCAGGCCCTCGGCGCGGCGCAGCCGCTGGAGGTCGGCTGCACGCGAGCGTGACCCGAGGCATTCCTTCTCGGTGGCTCGCCCCGGGGTGCGGGAGAGGAGCCCCCCCGCGATGGCGCTCGGGCGGCTGGCTTCCCCCGATGCTCGGGCGTTGCCAGAAGTGCCCGTGGCTCAAGGCCCAAGTCGGGCCCGTCCCCCTACAGGAGCATGTTCGACGAAAAGTAAAGAATACCCAAAAAATGCCCCATGGTCAAAAGATACTCAAAGAATGGTCCCCAGAGTCCCCAGACTATGTTTGGACTGTGTTTGGACTATGTTTGGGATACTTCTTATCTTTCGTGGAAAATCCCCGTGTAGGCGGACAGGCCCGACTGAACCCTAGGCACGAGTGACCCTGCAGTGCGTTGACTGCAAGATGGCAAGACCCAGGCGCGCTAGCAGCCACTATCGCATCGCGCGCAGCGATCGGGGGGACCCCGATGAGCCTGCACCACAGGCCTCTCCAGCGAAGGGTAACCCTCACGCGTAGTCGAGGAGGGCACCCCGAGGCTGGAGATAGGACGAGAACTGACGAGCACGTCCGAAAAATCCAACTCCTAACTGGAGACATCCTAGATGGAGTCCAAGTAAATGGGGGCGAAGGATCGCGCCGCATCGCCAATGCATCGCCCATGTATCGGCGATGCATCGGCGATGCGTCGGTGATGCATCGGCGATGCATCAGCGACGTCGGCGTGGGGAAACACGGGCTCCACATCAAGCCGCATCGACGATGCACCGGCGATGCGGCGCGATCCTCCAGCCCCACCTCCTCGGAGCCCATCTGGAGCATGCCCTCCGCGCGCGCGCGAGCCCTGGAGGGCGGCCCGGAGGGAAGCGGGCCGGGTCCGCGTCGGTGTCGCAGCCCTCGTAGAACTGGGGCTGGTTGGTGGCCACGGGCACCTCGGAGAGGGGAGGGCAGGTAAGGGGGGAGGGGGGGATGCCGAGCACTGTTGTGCTTTGAGCCATCCGAGCGATGATTACAAACGCCAGGAGGCAACTCCCGGGAGTCGGAAGGACTAAGGATGATTGAGCCCCATTGGGGGACGAATTACTGCGCCAGATGAGGCCACGGTCTAAGCGGCTGGGATTACATGGGATTGCGCGGGATCAAGCGGGAATAAGCAGGATTAAGCCGAATTTCGGACCAGGGCAAAGACGGAATTTGACCTCCCAGGAGTTGCATCCGAAAAACGGATCTTACGCGAGATGACACAGCGACCCCACGCCGCAGCCCGCGCGGGCCGCCGACGCGGCACGCCGCGCTGGAAGCGAGGGCGCTCACGCGAGACGCTATACGCGGGCAGTTTCCGCGAGAATGTGGGCGACGACTACCCTGTTGTTTTGGATCGCCTGTTTGCTTCGAGCTATCTGTCCACGGCGGTATGCCGAGGGCTGCCGCCGAGACTTCCTGGGGACCTCTGTGTGGCCAGCCTGGGTCCTGCCTAGCTCCTCCCGCCGCCTCCTCGGCGTCTCTTGAGCCGCTCATCGCCTTCTTCGAGGCCATCGGGGGAGCATCGATCCGGAATCGGCGATGCATCGCCGATAGATCCGCGATGGGCCCCCGATAGCGAGTCCGCACGCTCCAGGCGAGATGGGCACGTCGGGTCCCTCTGGGCGATCAATGTTGATGCGCACTAGGGGTCGATGTATCCACCCCTCCGAAGGGTCCGGAGCGGCGACCGTATCCATGTCCACGCCCTGGCGGCCGAGACTCCGGGCCGCGATCCCGTGGCCGCAGAGAGGCCTGGCCAGTGAGGCCGTGGATACGGATTCGCTCTCCGCCTACGAGAGAAAGTGGCAGCGGAGGGGAAGGGGAGCAGCCGAGGAGGGGAGGGGTAGGAGGGAAGAGGGCAGGATCAGTCAGCATCGAATCGGGACATCGGATCGGATCGGCATGCGGGTCAGATCGGGCTGCCTCGGCACGGAGTCGAAGTCGAATAGGATCGGCTGCGCCAAAATGCACACCCACACAATGCTGCGTCGGATCGTCGGAATACTCGAGTCAGGTCGGAGCAAGCCAGCCGGGATCGACATCGAACCGAATCGATCGGATCGGATCGGCATGGAACCAAGAGGGCATGGCAGAGGAGGGAGGAGGAGGAGGAGGAGGAGGAGGAGGAGGAGGAGGAGGAGGAGGAGGAAGGGGAGGAGGAGGAGGAGGAGGAGGAGGAGGAGGAGAAGGAGGAGCAGCAGCAGCAGCAGCCGCAGGAGGAAGGAAGACAGAAGAATAGAAAGAATTAGAGGAGGCGGAGGAAGAGGGGGAGGAAGAGAAAGCGGACGAGGAGGAGGCACAAGACAAGGAAGGTGGATCAGGGCAAGAGGGAGATGGTGGCAAAGGAGGACGGACAAGCAGGCAAGGGAGACGGAGGAGGAGGAGGACGAGGAGGAGGACGAAGGGCACGCCAAGTCACCATTGCGCCGGAGAGCCAGCGCAGTCGGCCTGTTCCTCTACACGCCGTCTGGCCTTGGAATACGCTGACCTGCCACCGCGCGTGAGGGTTTTTCGCTCGAAACGGCCTCTCCTTGTGGCCGCCGAGGGCCCTCCTCCTCAAGCCTTCAAGCCCAAGGGAACTCAAGCTAGCGGGTGGCCAGCTTGAGAAGCCAACATCGTCTGAATCACGTTTAATCCAGCCTGAGCAATTTGGGCTAGGATGGTCTAGCGGTATCCCTTCCTCCGCCCAAGCCCTCTTCCCTCCTGGGAGGGGAGACCTCCTCATCACCTCCTTGAGGTTGTTTGGAGGCTCACGGTGTATTGGTGGGTCGTCTTTCGCCCAAGATGGCTCCAAGCGGGCCTCCGATGCTCCAGAATGGCCTCCAAGGCGGCTTAAGTAGTGCGGAAGATGGTTCAAGATAGCTTGCAACATACCTCCAAGAGGCCCGACGAGGCCTACAAGACTGCTCCAAGAGCCCTCGGTGCCCCGTGAAGACCTCCGAAGAGGCCAACAACCTTCGAAAGCCTAAGGGGCAAACAAGTAATCGACGCAGCGATCCAAACATGCGCATCTCCTACTCCTGTCACGTTTCGCTTAGGGACTCTGTCTGTGAGCATCCGCGTGCAGGAGCGGGTCCGTGTAAGCAACAGGCGCGGCAATGACCACGACAACAGCGACGACTTCAGCGACGTCCTCCTCCTCCTCTGGACACTCTGTCTGGAGAGACGAAGGGAACACACGTGGAAGAGCGAGGGGGAGTCAACTTGCCATTCTCCACGCGGCAACTCAGGCAAGCGCGCACGGCGTTGCTACGCCCGCTCTCTGGCGTGCTACTCGCGGCGACTGCTGGTATTTGAGACCCCAAGTGCCACGCCGGCTATATCGCAGAACCCATTTGTGCGTGAGCCTCAGTGCGAGTTAATCTGAGCGTGGGTGATCTGAGTGCGAGCGAGTCGGAGTGTGCGTGGACCCCAGTATGATCGGGCCTGAGTGTGAATGAGTCTGGATATAGTCAGTGTGAGTACGAGTGGGTCTGAGTACGAGTGAGTCTGAGTGCGAACGAGTCTGTGCGAGTGGGTCTGAGTGTGAGTGAGTCTGAGTGTGGGTGAGTCTGAATTCGAGTGTGATAGATACAAGTCTGAGAAAGAATGAACCTGGGTGCGAGGTAGCTTGCGCATGAGTGAGTATGAGGGATGAGGGCTGGTGCGTCTGAGTGTGAGTGAGTCTGAGTGTGAGCGAGTCGGAGTATGAGCGAGTAAGTATGTGTGAGTCTGAATCAGATCGAAGTTTAAGTATGAGCGAGTGAGAATGTAATGTGTGAGCCTGTCAGAAGAAGAGTTGCTGATGAGCACGTCCGGGTGCGAATGAGTGCGTCCTGTTAGGGAAAGGGGAAGGAGGTGAGTAAGTAAGTGAAGATCACACAAGTCCAAAAAAAGTCTGGGGGGCAGAAACAGGCAAACCTCCTGTACGCCTGAACCCCCAAACCTGAGCTCGAATCCTGAAGTGCCCCCATCCCTGGTGGTTCCGCCTAGGGGTGCCCAAATGCCACACCTGATATATCGCTGTGAACACGAAACCACGAAACAAATACGAAAAAAACAAACAAACAAACAAAAACAAAAAAACACGAAAAAACACGAAAAACAACCACCACAAAAAAAACAAAAACTGTGAACATGAAACCACGAAAAAAAAACACAAAAAAATAAGGAAAAACAAACCAAAAAAAGGCCAGGGGGGGGAAGGGAGGGGGCAGAAACAGGCGAACCGCCTACCCGAGCGCGACTCTTGGAGCGTCCCCACCCCTGGCGGCTCGCTTCTGGCGCGTCCAGGTGCCGCGCGTGGTGCTATACATCTCGTGATGAGCACTGGGCCACAAACAAAAAATACATCGGGTGAACAGGCAAACCGCCCGAACTGCCTACCTGAGCGCGAATCTTGGAGCGTCCCCACCCCTGGCGGCTCACTTCTGGTGCGTCCAGATGCCGCGCGTGGTGCTATATTAGAGGAAAGAGAACTATGCACATACAGCGATTCTGGCCAGGCCCATCCTGAGCCCGGGATCGGTGCATACGCCCTCGACCTTGGCCAGGAAGGTGTATGCACCGATCCTGGGTCAAAGACAGGCCTTGCCAGGACCGGTGCATGTGCATAGTCCCCTTCGCCCGATATACATCGTGATGAGCACTGGACCACAAACAAAAAATACATCGGGTGAACAGGCAAGCCGCCCGAGACGTCCCCACAATCTTGTCGCGACCCCTGGAGCGTCGGCACCCGCGGCGGCTCCCCCGTGGGGTGCCCAAAATGCCGCGCCGACTAGATGGCGGCGGGCATTGGACATCAACAGAAATGGCTGGGGGGGAAGCAGGCAAACCGCGTGAGACATCCTCACAAACTGCTCCGAGAGCAGAAGATGTTAGGCATGCAAACAGACAAGCCACCTGAGACATCCCCGAAAGCTGGGCGCGAATCGTTGAGTTTCCCCACCCATGCCCCGCCCCCTTAGGAGTACTGAGACGAATGCATCGCCCGAGACATCCTCAGAACCTGCTCCGAAAACAGATGGTGTTTCGGGCCGGGCGAAAAGGGGGGATAGCAAAGGGAGGGTTTGAGAATCAGCTCACGTAGCTGATTTTCCCGGCGCCTCCCGACGCCGGAGGCGCCCATGTATCGAGGAATGGGCCCCTCGGTGGGGCTGAAACCAGCTGCGTGCAGTAAATTCCGTAACCCCCCCTTTCCCTATCCCCCCCTTTCGTCCGGCCCGAGTGTTGGGCATGCAAACAGGTAAACCGCCGGAGACATCCCCACAATCTGCGCGCGAAACATGCAGTGTCCCCGCTGGCGCCCCCTCCGCAGGGTGCCCAAATCCTACGCTCGCTATATCGCGGTGAACATTGGACCGCTAATCAGTATGAGTGAGTCTGAGTCGGAGCACGAGAGGAATCTGAGTTTCCTTGAGTCTGCGCGTGGGTGAGTCTAGATGTGAGTGAGTGTGAGTGCGGGTGAGTCTGATTTACTGAGTCGGAGTATGAGTGAGTCGGAGTGTGAGTGAGTCTGAGTGTGAGTGAGTATGAGCGTGGGTGGATTAGGGTACGAGTGAGTCTGAGTGTAAGTGGGTCAGAGTGTGAGTGAGTCACTCTGGCTGGGGAAGGGGAGGAAGAGGAGCACGTGAGGAGAAGAGGGAGGGCTTGTTCCCAGAGCCGTCCAAGAAATAACAAGAACCCCATCTTAAGATATGGGGAATAATGGTTGCCTTCTCGCCTGTTCGTCTCCGATGCGATTTTCAGGCCTCGAGCTTGCCCCAGGATGGCCGAAGAAATCCCCGAGGGGGGGGCCAAGAGGCCCCCCAGACGGACCCAAGAGCGCCGAAGAGCGGCCCGAGACCGCTCCAAGAGGCGATGTTGATGGCGCTAGGGGGGGGGGGGGGGCCCCCGCACATTTGGGACACCCCCATTTCCCCATTTT